TATATATATATATATATATATATATATATATATATATATATATGGTTAAATATACAAACCTCCCTTGTAATGTTAGCGAGTTTAGGTTTTAGCTCCTGGTAAAGTTTTTTTTAAATTCCCCCTTATGTTATGTAAATTCCCTCACATAACCCCCCATTAGACATATGGCATGGAATCTCCGCTCAAAATATGAAATTCTCTCCACGTGGTATTTCTATTTACTCACATGGCATTTTCATTTACTAAATTAATAACCTAGTTATACATTTCAAAATACCCCTTGCAAAATTTAGGGTTCACGTGAATAAGATTGAGTTGCGAAGAAGACGAATCTCAGGTGACGATGAAGACGAAGACGAAGCATCAGGCAACGACAAAGACAAAGATGAAGCTTGTAATGTCTAAGGTAAGTTGATTTTTAAACTTCATCAAAGTTAACGTGTAATATTAGGATAACCTTTTGATTACTGAGTTTGATTTATTCACATGATTTCCAACCTTTTAATGTTACGTTTCACCATGGGGGTGAATTTATTAGGGTTAATCCGACTGAAATTATTTACAAAGGGGGCGTTGATTTGAGTGTAGCTGGGCTAAAAGTTACTAATTGGACAATGGATAGTATTCTGAAGTTGGTGAGTAAGTGGGGGTATAAGGATGGCAGTTTTCGGTTATGGACTAAAGTTTTAGAAATTCAAGAAGGATATATTATGATAAGAAAAGATGATGATGTGTACGATTTACTTTAGGGACTGGTTGCTGTCTTTGAGGAGATGTTTGACAAGATTGAACATAAATTTTGTCTCAGGAATTTATATGCAAATTTCAAAAAAAAATGGTGGTGGATCCCTCATTAGGGAATTGATGATGGGTGATGCTAAAGCTACATACTGTCAAGCATGGTCCCAGAAGATGAGTGAATTGAAGAAAGTGGATCCAAATGCTTGGTCTTGGTTGATGGTAGTCCCTATTAAGAGTTGGTGTAAGCATGCCTTCACTTTTTACCCTAAATGTGATGTTTTGATGAATAACATATCTGAGTCTTTTAATGCTACAATACTTGTTGCTAGGGACAAACCTATATTCACTATGTGTGAGTGGATAAGGAAATATCTTATGAATAGGTTAGCTACATCTGCCAGTAAACTACAAAAGTGGCAACATAGAGTGATGCCAATACCTAGGAGAAGGTTAGATAATGGAGTGTTTAATAGTGGATATTGGTTACCAACATGGTCCATGGCTGAGCAATTCCAAGTCACCCATAGTTACAATAACCAAGAATTTATTGTTGACATAGCTAAAAGGTCATGTAGCTGTAACTTCTGGGAGTTAGTAAGAATACCTTGTAGGCATGTTGTGGCAGTTATGAGTTATAGGAAGCAAAACCCTGATGACTTTGTTGATGAGTGTTACACCAGAGAATTTATTTTACTTTGTTATGGTTTTTCAATAAGCCCAACCAATGGTCAGGATATGTGGCCAGAAGTAGAAATGGAACAAGTATTACCACCATCATGCAAAAAAAGGTCTGGGAAGGCCTAGGAAGGTTAGGATAAGAAAACTTGGAGAGGAAGGGGCAAGAATGAGAAGACCTGGAGTTGCATATAAGTGCACTAAATGTCACAAGTTTGGTCACAATGCATTGACTTGCAAGGCATTGACACAGGACTCCAATGCAGTGAAAAGAAAGGTAGGACTGTGTTTCTTAAAATTCAATTTGTTGTGCAAAATATAATTTGTTTGTCACTAATATAACATGTTATTATTTGTGTAGAGGAAAGTTAAGAATGTAAAAAATTCTGCTGAAGCTGAGAGGACAGTTCCTACTGATGGACATAGTTCAGTTCCTAATGATGGACATAGTTCAGTTCCTACTGCTGGAGAGAATTCATTTCATAATGATGGAAAAAGTACAATGGCTACTGATTCTACAATGCCTAATGTTGGGCATACTGAAACTGACATTGTTGTACCAACCATGATGAGTCAAACTAGATATGTTGTGGCTAACTCAATTCCCAGACAATCAAAGAAACAGGAAGGAAAGAAGCCAGTCACAAAAATAAGGCAAAGTGAAAGGATAAAATTAAGTTAGTTTAAGAAACCAATTACAGTCCCAAGATTTAGTGAGCAACCAATTACCATACCAGAAGTTGGAGAGAAGTCAGGTTTAAAAGACTTCAAGCTAGGAGTGAAAACAAGGTTTATGAAAACATGAAAGACCAAAAAAATGAGAGATTAAGTATTATGTTAGCTTGTAACAGACCTAAGCATTATATGTGCCTTTTGTATCAGTATGTGCTTATTTCAAATTTTAATGTTGTAATAGACATATGCAATTATATGTGCCTTTTGTGTCATTTTGGTAATGTTGTAAAAGACATATGCACTAAGTGTGCTTTTGTTAATCTAACTTATTTCAACTATGCTGTCAAGATTTTATGTAAAATCACTATCATTGAACATAACTTGAACTAAATTGCATTAATTCTAAATGAAATGGAAAATATAACTTAAACTTTCATTCAACACAAATTGGTTTGTCTTACAATTACAATTGAAATGGACAACAAAACTCTGGCTTTAATTCAACACGAAATGGGCTGTCTTGCAATTACAATCCATGACATACCAAGTATCAAATACAATTTGAAAACATAACAACTAATTAAAATTATACACAACTGCAAAAATCATCCATGGCAGAACAATTACAATCATCATCCATAAATTCTTTGTCTTTTCCAATACAACATTTATGTCCAATTTTTCCAGCTTGTTTGACCTCCCTTTTGGTCCCCATATTTTTACCTACTATGCTATAAATCTCCTCAACGATCTCCTTCCCAAATTCTCTCAAATAAACCTTGTTCGTGTCACATTCACAGCATCTGGATGAATTCACTTTAGCCCCACTAACCATATCGTCCCAGATAAATAATTTGCAACCATTCTGCAATTTTAATCAATATTAACACACAAATAACCGAAAAGTTTAATATAAAAGGAATTACAATCTTATAAACAACTCACCATGGAATTTACACATTTTCATAATTTTCAGCTTGGATTTTCGAGGGTGTTAGATACCCATAACTTCATGGTTTCGTTGCACCCACATCTTGGCAAACCCTTACCCAGATTACTCGTTGATGAACACTTGATTCCACCCATGAATACATATGCCGACGAACGACTGGAGGCGACAGGTTCTTCAAAATGACGACCTTAGATGCAAAGAGAAATGGGAGAAAATAAACCCTAATGTTATATGGTGTTGGATCATAATAATTATGCCATGCTGTCATGCACATGTGGACACAAATTTGAAAAACAATAAAATGAAAAATCCACGCATGAAATTATGAGCGAAGATTCCATGCCATCTGTCTAATATGGGGTTATGTAAGGGAATCTACATAACACAAAGGGGAATTAAAAAAATTACCAGGGGCTAAAATCTAAACTCGCTAACATTACAGGGGGTTGTGACAACAATATAAATATACCCACTTATATTTATGAAGGAGTATAAACACACACACGCACACATTGTGTGTATGTGTGTGTGTGCGTGTGTGTGTGTGTGTGCGTGCGTGCGGGCGTGCGTGCGAGCGTGCGTGCGTGTGTGTGTGTGTGTGTGTGCGCGTGTTTTTTCCTATTTCTTGTATCTTTTTTGTCAATGTAATCACAAGAATGATAGTTGATAAACGCCTAAATGAGAAGATGACAACAATATAATTAGAATATTAATTAACATATTTGATAAGAAATCTAATTAAAATCCCCTAATTTGAGTAAATATTATAGTAGTATCATTGAACCAAGATTTTAGAATTTTCAAGATATTTCTCATACTTTTTTATAGGAAGCTAGGCAATAACGGATAAAGATATTTTGTTAGGAGAATCAACAAATGACCTAGTGAAATCTAAATAAAAATGTTTGAAGAGTTATGGGTAAAGTAACTCGCAAGGCGATCAAGATAGCTTGCAAGACAAACCGATAATCCCAAACTTACTAGGATTTTGCAAGAACGAACTCGCAAGGTGAGCTAGACAACTTTCCTAATGATTCAAGGCAGTTTAGTGACTTGTGTCAACAAATACTTCAAATTAAAGAAACTTTATCTCACAATAAGGTGAGTCAAATAAATTGCATAGGATATTATGGTTATTTCGAAACCCATATGACTAAGTAAAGCAAAGACTTGAGAGAGAAAGAACGTTAGCTTGTGAGAAAAATCATATTTCTCTACTCAAAGTTCCACTAAATTAAATTCTATAAATAAAAGTCCTAATCATAATCAAAGGATTATAATATGTGGAAAAGAAAAAGAAATTAATATAGATTTATAAATCATACAAAGTCAATATTGTATCGTGTAGGATAATGAATATAATGTTTTAAAAGGAACGGTTTTACCTTCTAAAAAAAGATAACAGTGCAGTTTATTATCCGTTTGACTGATATTTCTATATAATCTTAATTGTATATAAAAATTCATACAAAAATTAATAATCAAACCATAAATTTTCTTTAAAATAATATAATTCAAAAGTGGGAAGTGAAAGAATACATAGCGGTTGCTAAAAATTCCCAGCATTTTCATTTGTTAACTCTAAAGCTAGGGTTAGAAGTTTAAAATAAGTCGCCCAAATGAAATGTATTGTTTATAATCTTAGATTTAAATAAATCAAAGAAAAAACACTAAATTTCCAATCCAGCACACCACTGATTAAGAATGAAACATTATTCTAATTTAATTTAATTACTTTTTATTTTGTTTCAAAAAACATACACATAATTTAATTTGATCCCATTGAACCCTAGACTGATCTTTAAACACTACACTCATAAGTAACATAAATTAACTTCATAAAAAACAATATCATACATTCTTCTTAACCTCCCTCCCAAATTAAATTTAATTATACGAATAAATTTTTTAATTCAATTAATGCTCTAAATATAGAGTTGCACTTTTTTTTTTCGGATTCATGAATACATTATGGAATTGGCGATAGAAGATTTGGAATCATTTATGAATTTGCATGATACCAATATGCTTGAAAATCGGGTTTTTAAATAAAACCGGTTATGAAACAGGTCAGATCCGGTTTTAAACCGTCTTACACTTGCAAACCGGTTTTATAGAAAATCGACCGGTTTTTATAACTGAAACCATAAAGGGTTTGGTTTCATAAGATTTGGTTAACCATGCACAATAAAACCCCTTTCTTTTTGGGTGATTTTTTTCCTCCCGAATAAACAGAACGAGAAAAGAACAAACGGCGCTGCTGCATTCACCTTTTCTCTCTCTCCGGCGGCGGCGCAACCCTTCTCTCCGGTAACCATCTTCCTCTTTGTAATTAAACCCTAAAATTACTATATCACCTCTATTGTTCTCCTTGTAGAATCTCAAATTTGAAAACATTACTTACTTTTTTTTTTTTTTTCAGTTGTTCAAATATCTGCACTCACTTCATATCTCAAAGCAATCATATATTTTGTTAGCTCCAAAACAGTACCTTTTACCATTAACGCTCCATTTCTTACCCAATGGCGTATTCCCGTGGTCGCGATTTCTTGTTCTGTAACTTGTGCGGGACAATGCTCGAGGTTTCCTCAACGGAATACGCAAAATGCCCCTTGTGCAAAACCAAACGAAACATAAAAGGTACAACTTTTCTTCTTCTTCTTCTTCAGAATGATGTGTATGTTATTTGTCACTCATGTCTTGTAATCGTGCGTGTTAGATTGTTACTGTGCTTGTGTATTTTGTAAATACTTTGTTGTTGATGAGTGCATAGTGTGCTCGAGTGAACTAATATTTTGTGTTTAGAAATCCCATTATGAATACTAATTGAATGTCCTTGTCTTCTTCAGATGTTAAAGGAAAGGAAATAAGTTACACAATTTCTGCCGAGGTATGCTTTTGCGGATTTTGTTGTTGTTGATCAGTTTAAACATGTTATTTCCATCTGCGTATTCCTAACATATGAATACATCTCTATGTTCTATCACTTAGGCATATAGTTTCTACAGTTAAGTGACTAGGTCTAGGTGTTTCAGTAGAGGGTATAATTGCACGTGCACATTGGGTCCTAGTTTAGTTCTACGGTTGCGTGAGAGTACAGCAACGATAACAACCAAACCGAAGAGTGTTATAACTAAAATACTGTTTGCTGATTCATTATGCCCTCAATATCATTTCTTAGCAACAAAGAGGATTTTATTGAAGGCTGGTATATGTCATGTTGTGTTTTCATTACATCTAAGGCGGCTAATAATATTTGGATGATAAAAATGTTAAAGAGATAATTTTGACACTACAGATAGATTCTTTTGTCCTAGCTGTGTTCTGATAGTTATGTAGATAACATAATATGACCTTTGTAAAAGCTCTAAAAATAACATGAAAAACTTGTTGGAAAATCTACAGGAAAATTTCTGGTTAGTAACTCTGATTGTTGAAAATAAATATTCTATGCATACCTATGTCTCTTAGAAAAGTCATTGAATTTCTTCTAGTCTATAATAGTGGCAACTCATTAGAGCCTTCTCGGAGCTCCTTACAGAGGAGGCAACGCCGTCATCTCCAACAACACCCTTCTCACCGGCGATCCCCTGCCTTCCACAAGGAGTATTTCCCCTTTGAATTGGTTAAAACTCTTGCTGATTTCCATGCTGAAATCACTGCTTTTGATTGGAGCCCTGATTCCAAATACTTGCTTGTAGCATCCAAGGCTCACTGCGAGAATCTTGTGTTTGAAGAAACTTAGTGGCGGTGCTAAGTATAAACCTTTTTTGTTTTTAGGTCATAGGGATTCAGTTGTAGGTTTATTTTTCGGTGTTGATCCTAAAACTAATAAGCTTTCTAAGGTTTATACAGTTACTAGAGATTGTTATTTGTTAAGCTGGAGTTTTACTGGCTACGAGGAATCCTCAGGGCCTCCATCAACAGGGGGACCCCTGATAGGGAATTAGAAAGGGAATTGAAGGTTGAAGATGATGGTGTTGTGAAGAAGAGGAAGGAACATGAAAGTGAGGATGAGGTGGGTACTTATGTAGAGATAAATGGGAATTGTTGAAGAAGGATTGTTTTAATCAGGTGACAACGAAGGTTTCAACTTGCGATTATCATTGTGGGTTAGACACGGTGGTTGTTGGATTTTCTAATGGTGTGTTTGCGTTGTATCAGATGCCAGATTTCGTGTGCATTCATTTGTTGTCCATATCAAAAGAGAAGATCACCTGCATTGCTTAATGACCTTGGAAATTGGTTGTCCTTTGGCTGTGCCAAACTGGGTCAGCTCCTTGTGTGGGAGTGGCGGTCTGAGAGTTATATTTTGAAGCAGCAGGGTCATCATTTTGATGTCAATTGTGTCGCGTATTACTGGGACTCTCATTTCCTTGCTACAGGAGCATATGATAATAAAGTGAAGGTTTGGACTGTTTCCTCGGGCTTTTGCTTTGTTACGTTTTCTGAGCACACTAATGCTGTCACAGCTCTGCATTTTATGGAAAATAAAAGTTGCCTGCTCAGTGCATCTCTTGATGGGGGGCTGTTCATGCATGGGATTTAATACGTTATTGGAATTTTAGGATATTTACCACTCCTTCAAGACAGTTTGTTTCTTTGGCAGCAGATCAAAGTGGTGAAGTGATATGTGCAGGCACTTCAGATTCATTTGAGATTTTTGTTTGGTCGATGAGAACTGGCCGTTTGTTAGACGTGCTTAGTGGTCACTAAGCTCCTGTTCACGGGCTAGTATTTTCTCCTACAAATGCTGTTTTGGCTTCATCATCATGGGATAAGACTTTTCGGTTGTGGGATGTTTTTGACGGGAAAGGAGCAGTTGAAACATGGCCTCACACATGATGTTCTGACAATAGCTTATCGTCCAGATGGAAGACAGCTAGCTTGCAGTACATTGGATGGACAAATTCATTTTTGGGATCCATTATATGGTGTGCTGATGTATTCAATTGAAGGTTCTAGAGATATTGCTGGAGGTCGTCTTACGACTGTCTGTAGAACACCTGCTAACTCAAGTACAGGGAAGTGCTTCACAACCTTGTGTTATTCAGCTGACGGAAGCTACATATTAGCTGTGGGCAGTAGTAGATATGTCTGCATGTATGATGTTGCCAATCAGGTTTTGCGGCGATGCTTCTAGATAACTCATAATCTTTCATTAGATGGTGTCCTTGACTTTGTAAACTCAAAAGAATATGACCGAAGCTGGCCCTATAGATTTGATTGATGATTATAAGTGACATTGAAGAAGGTGTTGAAAGACAAACACAAGGGAAACTAGGACTAGATTTGCCAGGATCTGTAGCTAACCGCGGAAGACCAATTTCTAACACTTTCTGTGGGTGCTATTGGCACTTCCACAAAACGTGCTAGACTGAATATCCCATAATGGAAAAGGTGAGGAACAATCTGGTATCTTAGACTTCTTTCTCGTTCTACATCCAAGAATACATTTTGCTCGACATGATCACCTCTAGCAATGACAATGGAGGCTTCAACTGGTTGATATTCAAACCCATAGGTTCCAGAACCACTTGGCTTAAACAAGATATGCTCCGTACAAAGTCTGTGGAGATAGCATGCTGGTGTTGATTCAGCCCCGGATTTCGAACCAACACACGCTCACAAGTTCAACCACCTCAGAAAACTTGCATGTTTGGAATCAGTTTAAGTTCTGTTCAATTGCTATTGAGATTTATAGATAACAAATTAAGGAATGAATCACTACTTTAGTTTTCGAAATTATAAAAAAGGTCAATTTAGAATCTATGAAGGTGATCTCTAGAACTGAAAATAATCCATCACAATGTTTTCTAAAACAATTTCAAGACAAATTGATCAAACCAAAAAGTTTAACATTGCAGATACCAATTTAGACTTTATTTAAATAAACATTTTAAGTAAGACAACATAAAATCATATAAGTGACTATATATAACTTATTTCTACAACAAAGATATCATATAAAATTGTTTTCATATAAATTATAATTTGTTTTCATAAGGTCGATTCAATAGAAAATTTGTGATGTGATTTCAAGCATGTAAATATTCACATTATTGATTATTGGCAAATGAACTTTGTGTAATTTGTGGTTGGCAGGATATCAGAAGAGAACTTGGAATTGATCTACTCGAAGAACAGACGGTGCAATTGTCTAAGGTAATGCATCCTTCAATATATATATAATGGCATGTTTTTTAAGCAAATGTTTACAGGTTTTAATGTTATGTTTCTTACAGGTCAACAAGACATGCGAAAAATGTGGTCATGGTGAAGCTGCCTTTTATACCAGACAGGTATTACTAGATTTCATAATGAAGCCTTGCCAACTTAATTTGGAGCTTATTTAGTACTACATTTTTATTGATATAAATCTTGCTAATTTCAGATGAGATCAGCGGATGAAGGTCAAACTACTTTCTACACATGCACCCGCTGCGGTCATCAGTTTCAGGAAAATTAAGTCGGAACTGTGTAAGAACAGTTTGTCTAATTTCTTTACTTTCTTTTTGGTTGAAATCTGCCCCCATTTCTCGCCAAACCTTAATTTGGAGAGCGCTTTGTATGTGCAAGTAGAAATTTTGATCCTATGTAGCTTGTACAATGCCTGGAAAATATATAATCGACCTAGAAAAGTTATTTTTTTGGTGTTAAGTTGCTGAATGCGCACAAACTGTTTTTATATTATGTTTTAAGTTAGTACCTTTTTTTTCTTCCGAAAGTCAAACTTTGATTTGCTACTTTGTGGGAGTCTGACCCCTTCGATTAGATTGATTCACTGTGATATCATTCTACATTGATTGTCATATTTGCTGTTCTGCTTCTGGCTGGTATTATTGGATGACCTTTGTGTTTTCTTATTAAATTTCCTTTGATCATGTGGTGCTTTTTGGTGAAGTTAAATCTATTAGTATTTTCAAGGAAACAATTTGTTGTGCCATCAAATTGATTTATGGCTACATACCCAATCTATTAGTATTTGGTTTCTACTTAATTAACAAAATTTAATACAAACATAAACAATATGCTGGTCTCAGTGAACGGTACTATAAGTGTAAGGAATGTTAGATTTAGTGAGAAGAATTTTCTCACACTATGATTAACAATTTTCTCAACTGCACCATACTAAAGCATCTGTAAGAACTAAGAACCCATTCTAAATAGACATTGATTTTCATAACTCTTTCATTTGGTTTGAGGGGTTGATTTAAATTACTTTTTTTTTTTTAAAATCGATTGTAAGTAATTTTTGAAACGATTCACGAAAAAATGATTTAATTTTGAACTCTCTCATTAATGATAGTATACTTAACTATCATGTTAGATTCCTGGTCAAATTTAATTTTAAGTTAAATTTTTTTTAAGTAATAAAATTAAGTAGTTATAATACATTGACGGGATACTGCATAACAATTAAATTCTTATCTAAATTGAATAATTAATAACATGAAAATATTATTTTCTATTAAAA